CTATCTTTCACTCTATCTAATGAAGCCGTGAAATGTATGTACACAATTACATATTAAGTAGAGTTTCATAGGCGAATACTTCCGGTTGTTAGTTGGCTGGGCAATTGGAGGCTCATTCCAATCAATCAGCCTGATGAATAAGGAATGCTACGTATCCTGGCCGCTCAGCGTGCTACACTAATGGCCTTCATAAAACTCCATGAACTAATAACTATCTTCTAAAATATTTATATTAATATGTGCTGGAAGTTAGATTTCTATGAAGAATCAATACAAGCGGACGTTGTCCTAACTTTCACTTTATCAACCTAAAACATTTTGTACTTACATATTTGTGTAGGGGGGGGGGGGTTCGAGCAATTTTCGATTAGAGGTACTTCTTTTCATAAAAATATAATAATTGTTTGCGTGTACAAAACAAATGCTATTGGTACGGGTAACTCTAATTAATATAATCTTCAACACCAACTGCTGGACAAAGACCTCGTTCTAAGGAGAGGATTTGCAATCATTACAATGAATTTATAAAATAATTTACTTATAATCAAAATAATATGTAGTTTGATATTAAATAGAGAAGTAAAAATGAAATAGGGAACCTTTATTACCAAGGTAATACAAAAGAGCTATCATAACGAGCTGTTCCAGGTCTGCCTGGCTCCAGCTATGAGCTAATATTATACATTACACTCTTCTAATTTAAACACGAAATGGTAGAAATATAGAGAGAGACGCATGAAATAGTTAAATAATTTCATATTTTATTAGTTTCCATGAAAGGTTTATAGCTTTTAAATTGAATTGAAAAGAAATGAATAGAGTCTGAGTAGTGACAAAAGCGGGCAAGTGGAGCCCGGAGCGGGAACGTAATGAATACGTCTGCTTTTTCATTTCAAATGCCTTTTAATATCTTGGCTCTAAAGCTGTGTCTAACTAATAGTTTACGTCTAATTACTATTGAGTAATACGTTGTATAACGACGCATGAAATGTTTAAAATCAAAGTGCTGAATTTTTAGAGGGTCGTTGAATAGAAACAAATTTTATTTTAACTGTGATTATGATTGAAACTTGCACTAAACTTATCTCGTACATTTTCATATAATTTGTTTTACGACGATTAACACATAAACTAGTGGAGACGAGCGTGTATGTCGGTAATGTGAAGATAATGTTATGCTAGTACACACTGGCGGGGACTGAGTTATGTCCAAGTTTATGAAATGCAAACACCCGCTAGTGGGTACCGGCCTGCTTACACTCACGCCAGTAATAGCTTTATTATAGTCAAGATTAAGAAATTGAACACTTACAGAGGTCGCTTTATTAACTTATTCTCTACTAGTTTCACGAAGCAAAAAGTAGCCTATGTATATATTTATATTACTCTAGCCAATAACTTACTTTTATTCCAAATTGACTAGGCAAATGGCTGCCGCACATCGTCTCGCGGGTTCGATTCTTGCAGGTAGCAACTCTTTGTGTGATCTACAGATTGTTGTTCCGGGTCTCGGTGTCATGTGTATGTGAACTTGTATTTGTAGAGGTATATTTGTAAATGCACCCACGATACAGGAGAAAATCCTAGTGTGGGGCAACGTTTTATTAAAGATAATAAAGAAACATCCCGCTCCCTTCAGTCGTTCTGATGTGACTGAGTAACAAACATATTACACACAAATTTTCGCATTTATAATAGCGGTTTTTTTTTTATGGAATAGGAGTGTTCCAGGTAATTTCAAGCGTCCGCCCTATAATTACAACTTATATTTGCGTTTGGTACGGTAATCATGTCTAGAGATCGAGCCGCACTATTAAGTTAGTTTTTAGTGTATATACTTTGTCGCGGTAAACAGTACGGTGTATCCCGATTCCTATGATTATTCTTAATGAAATGCTTAATAATAATAATGTTAGCTTATTTTAAATATGGATGACTGAGAGTGTTGTAATCGTAAGAGTGAACAACTATAATCAGAAAGCTTCGAACTGCTAAGCTATCGGGAACCGTAAAGGATACACATTTGCTGCCGTGGGATATTTTTTATATAATTTTAAGGAGGACATTTTCGTCATACATGATTTCTATGTAGCTTTAACAATTAAGGTTGCACACGCAAAGGAAGCTTAAAAAATTGAGTAACTTCTCCCGTTTTCCGAATACTACTACTCTGATCCTTTTAATTATAGCGTGATAAAAAGTATATTATAACCAGCTCAGGAGTATGAACAACAGTTGTACGAAGTTTCGTTGAAATCTGTCGAGTAGTTTTTGTTTCCATAACGGTTATACAGACAGACAAAAATTTTACTGATTGAATTTATGGCAACAGTATCAATTCCTCATCACTACCTGATAGTTACTTTGGATATATATTTAACGTACAGAATCGACCTCTCTACAGATTTATTATATATAAGTATAGAAGAGTAATTATTTTGGAAATTTTACGTTTCGTTGTCATTACAGCTTCTAATTGTTTGTGATAGATTGCGAATACCATCACGTTGATAGCGCTTTTTAAAACCGATTTGAGATTGTGGTCAGCAGCTGGACAGTGCACAGTGGGCACGTCGTGCGCTGTCTGTGGACAACGCTGCAGTGTGCATTGTGCAGGCAATGGTGCGACAAATTGCTCGTCCACTACAAGCACTGTGTAGCAACAGCGCCAGACACACAACCACCCAGACTGCCCAGACACACACGGCCACACATTTGTTTATTATTTCACACTTGCATAAATCTCGTATAAAACTTTAGTTGGCGTGCGGGATACGTTGTCATTACCAATGTTTTGTGTTATCAATTAAACTCTTATGTTTTTTATTCATTGGTAAAATTTAGAAATAAGGAATTACAATATGTGTGTCTTAAAATATACTAGAACTAATACAAAAAATTAAATAAAAAAACTCAGTAGCAGCGCGACAGTCGCCGCGTCGCGGGTCGCGAAATGCTATTCATGAATATGAGCCTCTAGCATGGCTTGAAACTAGTCGAGTTCCTCGTCCAATTACAACGTGAGTAAGCCGAAAACATAATAATTTATTTAGTATGTCTCACGAAAGTTACAATACAAATATTAAAAAAAACTCCTTATGTTACTGATAAGAGTGTGACTACTATCTTTACCCGAAATCGTCATACCAATCAATAAATCAATTTTCACATAGTGTTCACTAGCGGATGCCATGCTTCTTAAACTGTCAAACACCAAGCGGTCACCGGTGACCGCAACCTATTGTTCTATAATTGTGTCTATAATGACGGTACTCGACGAGTTAAATAGGATTCAGTATTCATTCATGATGGAAACGAAAATCGAGGGTTAATTTATATTTGCAATTATATGTACGAACACACTGACTGATAATTATTCCATTGATAGTCACCTCCATTTATCACTCAACATCGTTGTTGCATCTCATCTGTACTTCATTTGCAATGAAAGCAGTTCACAGTGCGTGGAGCTGAGAGCGAGACAGTTCTGTGCTCACACTTTTATTGGCGACATAAAGCTACTTTATTGGTGCTTGTCACGCCTGTGACGCCTGCCCTCGAGTCTGTGCCCTTGTTTTCTATGGAGCAGACTTTACGTAGACACTTCTTCTGCACTTTGTTCGATTGGCACAAACTGTGTAATGGAACTTAAAGTATAATTAGTTACTTAAAGTATATCATAAAATATTCCATGGATATCAATCGGTGAGTAATTATGAAATAATTGATACACAACTGAGTGTTCCATCGTCTACTCAAGAACCCTTCTGTGTTATCTGTGTTCACAAATAAATTGATTTGATTTGATTTGAAGAATTCATTTTCATTTAGCTTGCGATAGTTAGCCTTAAATGCATCGTTTGTTTTTCTTCAAAGTTGAGGCTAAAGCTAGCTCCTAAGCTCACTAATTGAAGCTGGATTTTCTGAAGCACTCACTAAGACTTAGCCTTAATGAGTCTTTAAACGGGTCGTTGACTTCCACGCCAATTAGTTTACGTCTATTAGCAACTGGTATACAGGATCATATCCCTTTTTGATTCGTAAGTTAATGCGCGCTAAATGTAACATAATCTGATAGTTGCCGAGTAACAGTGGCATTCAGTGAAGCTGAGAAAGCATTAGCAGTGTCTGCTGGTGACGTTATACGTTAATATTACACAACACACCATTATCCGACGCGAACTATGAACAATACAGGGCGACGATAATTAATAACAATTAACTTGCTCTTGGCATTAATTACTCGCGCCGATTCTCTGCCATTAATCCCAACGTTAATTGGAAAACGGGTGAGCAGTGAGTGTGAGAACAGCAACTGCCAGGCAGGCGGGCCGGCAGCCAGGCAGCGTCAGTCCGTATAGTATTAAATGAGACATAACATATCCTCTACCCGCTGTGTTCACGTAAGACGTAGTAACGCTTACTTTGCAAAAACGCAACTACCGCCATTCTGGACATACGCCAAATGTTTCTACTAGACCCTCACCTACTGCGACTTGATTCAGAGGCAATTATAGGGAGACCTGCTGCTTGGTACCTAGTACATCTACCTACAACGTGTTATGTCTTTTTCTCAATATTTACTATACTTCTACAATAACTAATGCGTTTTCAGTCAAATACCCTAACAAGTGCAACTTAAACTAACTACCACATTTAACTGCACAAACTGTTATAAGATCTTGCTCCAGTACGATCATGAACAACTACAAACAACTCAAACAATAATTATAAAACTGCAAACAACTCTCTTAAGAGTGTCAACTGTCCAGTGAGGGGACCGACAGACCGGTTGTAAGGGGAAGTTTGAATGGTCGAGTCTTTATCGAGGACATCAGACCCGGCCATCTGTAACCCGGACGGAAGGCATTCTTACAGCGGTTGTTGGCGAGCTGTTTGTCAAGCTTGTCCTAATAAACATAACAATGCTCTCATTTTGTGTCGACAACTCTCTGAGCGGCGACAACAGAGTGATCTCCTTAATAATACATGTGACCCACCTCGAGCGATGCCGGCTCTCCAAGGTAGCCCGAATATATTATTGACACCACACTAGCATTCCGAACACAGTCAGCACAACACTTCACGGCACTAGAGACGTACGGCGCGAGCGTGCACGGGCTCGCAGCGGCGGCGACGGCAACGCGGCGGTGGAGCGGCGCGCGGCGTGACGAGAGCGCGCGGAGCGGCGCGGGGCAGCGCGGGGTGACGTGCGTGGGGTGCGGCGGGCGCCGCGCGACTGCCGCGCCGCCCGCTGCCGCCGCGCCGCCCGTGCGGTGCCCACACGTTTTTTCTCTCGGCCGCTGAACACGGGCGTGAGTTAACGTATTTAGCATTCGTCAAGGATTAACTCGCGATGTACAGTCGAATACATTTGCATTGCAAATTTTCTCGCTTTCTCTTAACTTTTTATACAGGTTCATGTAATCAGTGCACTTGATTGACCCTTGCTGTGTGATGTGGGCTATCCGCTGATAACTCATTTTTGTTTATGAAAACATATTACCAACTTATTTCATGACAGTACGAAGCGGTAAGACGAAATGATTGCCACTAGCCAGGGAGGGCTTTTACCTGATAAAAGGGTGTCATAGACATTTACAACAATATTAAATAATTTGCGAAGGTACACTTTATTACACCACATAAAAATAACAAAAGCAAAGAGTTGATGAGTACTTCCACAGTTTATTTTGTAAAAAGTATACGTTCCCCGGACAGGGCGCGGTAATGGCAAGAGGAAACTCGTTAGCCGACGAAAGTTTCACCTTTAAAGTGTTTTATTATTGTTTAGCAAGTGATGTGACTCCACACACCACCAGGCGCGCTGCACGCGGCCTGTAGCTAGCCTCCGCAGTACATCGGCAGGACATTGCTAACTTTGGAAACTTTAATGTTAGTGTTACATATGTTACTGGTCACTGTAACATGAGCTGCTGAACTTGCACTGGGTTTAGTTAAGTAAAATAGGATTATTGTCTGTATCGTTTTATCATTTCTGCTAAGGGAAGACTTTCACGATGGAATCTAGTAGGGGTAAGACGCGGTGGCGGCGTTGCTCACAATAAATTATAAAACAACAGGGATGGGCGGCAGCGCGGGCCAGCCCTAATTATGTCCGTCACACACGCGCGCAGTTCGGCTGACGTTTTAATTGTGAACCTCTGCATGTACGAGCCGCGGCCCTTTTGTCCCACTCCGTGTTTGCTTATAATTTCAGAGGAACACGGTTCATTCTGGTACCATATTCTCTGAGTCTGCATTCTGCAATACACACCATACCGGGATAGGTACAGAAAACAAACAGATATTTTAAATTAATATTATACCACATTTATTTAAAACATTTAGAAGCTACGACCATGAGCTGACGCCATGTTCCGGCTGTAGTAGGGCGGGCCTCGTAAAGTAGCGGACACAATTGATGTGTTTAGGGCGATGTATCAGGTGCGGCACAAACAGGCCTAAATCAACAGTGTCCCTGTAAGATAGTGGCCCACAGCTGACCATCGAACCGCCCACTCACGATCCTTCGCTTGTGTATTTACGATAATTAGTGCCTACTCAGTGTTCGCGTGAGATGTACTCGCCGTACCTGCGCTGCGTACTGTTTATTTATCAGTTCAAAGCCGGGACGGAGCTTTATGATGTAGTTACCCTCTGTATGAACATAGGTACCATATTCGACGACACTTGTCCGAACCCTAAAATTGAAATATGCATAATTATTCTAGATGTTGACTGGAGTTTTTGTCCGTTCTCAAAGTCAAAGTCAAAGTCAAAGTTATTTATTGCAAACATAGGTAAATAGGTAATAAGTACATAATACAGGATGAAGCATATATAATAATAGTGCGCTATGTTTCGCCGTTCCCGCCGTACCCTGCGAACAAATCTTAGTTTCAAAAGTGCCCCTTTATGGATTAATTGTTTTGGTTATGACTTAAAATGGCCTTAAGTATACATCAACACCATTCTCATGGTTAAGATATTGTAAATATCAGTAGAACTGTCTTTACGCAAAAAGTTCGGAGAGTCACGCAGTGGAGTCTAATTTATCCGAATGTGATTAATAAAGCGGCGGCGGCGGCGGCGGCGGCGGGCGACGCTTATCGCACTCGTAAATTAATATCGGCGACACGCTGCAGTCCAGGGACTGTTCACCTAGTCGCGAGCAGTCGCGCGTCCAATACTTATATATAAGACACCACGGGCTGTAATTAGTCATTATGAACCTCAAATTACAGACAACAATAATAGACATAAGCATATCGACATTACTAACAATTCCTCGTACTTCAGAACTAGTTTATTCCGATGTTGTTGTTTTTGTACTCCGTGTTGCTATTAATAATTGACTATTGCGCACTTTTACATACGCACGATTATGTATAACAATTTTCGAATATATCTAATAGTTTTCAATTCAAGGCAAACAGACAAATTCAGAAGTAATAGCTAGCTGCTAGATACTGTTTATATGGAGGGTAAGAGTGAGGCGTGGACACGGCGCGATTTGTGACCGCTCGCCTGCACAGCTGCGGCCGAGTGCCGGCGGGCGGAGTAAGGCGGGCCGCACTACTGTGAGATAAGTTCATCACCTCCACGTGGTGCAACTAAACAGCACCTAACTATTTCACAGCCACACACTTCACTGGTTTATATTTATTGCCGAATAAGGAAAATTTTTTCTTGAAGTTTTCAGTCACTTATGTACACACGGCCACACATCAACCTATACAAAACCAGTGTATCCTGGTGTCGCGTCGCATCATCTTTCCGCACATTTAACGTTCAGTTTATACTGGTTATGTAAAGCTCGATGTGTAGCCGTGTGTACAAAGACCAAAAAATGTGTTTTGGTTCAATAACTGAGTAAATTAATGCTCTTCCCCTTACTTCAAAACTCGTTCAAATCAGAAGTTATCGTGGACGATCTGGAATACAAATTCTGACAAATATGAGTGGATTCACAGTCCCCTTTGACCGAGACCTCACGCTGTGAGTGCCTACATAATGTGATGTGAAAGTAGGCTCCGGTCGGGTTTGTGTCGCGAGTCCGTGGCATTCCTTAGCGCCGTCGCGTTGCTCTGTCCCGGCCATTTGCATAAAGTAATAGATGCTGTAGCCACTTCACTCGCTCCTAAGTCCAGCCACTCGCTACCGACTTGTCGTCTGCACGACTTGCTGAAGTATGTGCTCTACATTATTTGAAAAGTAAAATGATGCAACCGAATATTTTCATACAAATTGAGTAGTCTTGTTTCGAGCAGCTAGCCTACAATGTCGATATTATCTCAGTAAGTCAAAAAAGGTTTTTATATAGGTCCTGTGTAAAAACATATACACATATGTTTTAAATAACAATCAGCCTCTGTGTGCACTAACAATACACCGTGTGCTTGCATTAGCAGATGCATTCATGTGATGATATCTAAAACCGAAGTTCACAAGAAATTTCTGGCCATTACCTCTGACGTTTAGCAAGGTGTTTTTTTCAATATCCTCTTGTCTGGTAACGGGTACGTATAATATTACAAGTTATTATATTTTGTCGATGATCAATGTATTGCTTGCGCCCGCGTGTGTGTGTGTGTGTGTGTGTGTGTGTCCAATACACAATTGGGCCGGCAGCTGTAAGTAATACCTCGACACATCGCTGGTCCTCCCCCCTCCCCCGGGCCGCGGCTATCTCGGTGTCCGGGAAATAGTCGACGAGATTTATAGCCGCGCACTTTGTAGCGGAAATAAAATTGTCCATGGTGTTGTGAAAGTGTAAGATGTGGCGGTTTATGGGGCAAGTGATCGCAGGGATGAGTGTCGCCTCTAATGTTATACATTTTTACACCATACTGATCATATGGAGTAAGTATAGTGAGTTCGATTCTTTGGGTTACTCGCTGAAGAAAGGAGTATGCAGACTCAATATTTTTTTCAGCAAGTTGTGTGTTAGAGATCGTTATTTACTGCAGCTCCCTGTGCAATAGCAAATGTTAGGAACAATGTTGATCTAAGTAAATGGAATCTTAAAAACAAGACAACGGGAACGTTCAGCTTATATTTAAAACTACCGCCCTTTATAAATGTAGGTAGTCGGAGCAGGCGAGTAGATTGCGTGCGGCCGTGCGACACTACATGTAGGACACCTCACTTTTCATTCCCCAAAAGGCATCCATTGGGAAATGAGGCAATGATTGATACACAAAATACAATCTCCCACGAGAACCTGACGTGTGCTTGTGTCTAATTAATTAACGGTAGGTTTAGCGACAACTACTTGTAAATGTTAGAAGTCAAGACGATTATAATAATATCCTGCAATTAAATATCAGCGCGGTACGGAGCAGCTCACAGCCCGCAGTACGAGGCGGCATCATTCAAGCAGTCCGCTGACCTGAATCAAAGTAGATGATTCAATTTTTCCGCTTACTTTATCTAGGTAATTGCGTACTCCGTTTCAATTGTGATTTCCTTTGAGCCTGTACATCCCGGCAGTGCAAAGGCGGCTCTCGACCACTCTCGGCCGTTCTCGGCCACTCTCGCCGCTCTCTCGCCGCACTTGCGTACTCTTGCGTAGGAGCTCGAGTTGCGAACTCGCGACCTCTTGCCGACAGCAAGCGATGCAGTCATATGTAATGTATTATGGAATATAATGTCTCTACGTATACATGATTGTGTAGAGTTCCTCACGCAATTGTGAACCGCATTAAGGACTTTTCCTTGATGATCACACTGGACATAAAGCTACTAAATACACGTAAATAAAATTGGAGTGTCTGTTTGTAAAATTTAAAATAACCGCTTATTATTATATGCATTTGAGAATACATACGATACACATACCAACATAACAGTTATTTTAATTATTGCCTGTCTGTCTGTCGGTGTGTGCTAACTCATCTCTGGAATGGCTGGACCGATTTTGACGACAATTTTATTGGAAGTTAGCTGATCTACAAAGGAGTAAAATAGGCTACTTGTATTTTATAAAATTGAAACACAAAAAGTTATCTTCTATATTCATATTGTACGCGGACGAAGTCGCGGGCAACAGCTACGTGCCCGTACTTTGTACACTGAACCGTGCCCACACGACATCTACCGAAGTGGGCGGCAGCACAACTTGCGGAACAACTGCT